CTACCATGCATAGACGAGGGTTGGATATGAAACACGAGAGAGCGGGATCATTTTAGCAATTAAACCGTTCTGAAATCCAACAATCCAAGTGACCCTTCAAACCAAATTCCTCGTACCATAAGTAGCAGAGTAGTAAAAAATATTTATATTTCAAGTAGTACATGTATCCCTCCCCCCCCCCCCCCCCCCCCCAAAAAAAAAAAAAAAAAAAAAGTAGAAATGGGGCCGTAACACTCACCCTTGAAGCATGAGTTACAATCGTTCGAATTCAGTTTCTTTGAGAAGTTTGACGTGAGAAACCGTAAAGTCACGTTTCTTGAACTTTGAAATATTTCCGGAACCATTTTGTAACAAATTTGAACTATTGGGAACTGATTTTAACTTTGCTAAACTGTAGGGGCTTTTTGGTATATCAATTTAACGAAATAAGATTGCTTTGGTAAGGAAAATACCAAATGAGGGGGTGTTTTAAACAAATGAGTTTAATGTTTGGAGTTGGGACCTCTTTTGAACAAAGAGTTTAACAGTGGGGGCATTTTAGGCACTTCTTTAATAAAAAATGACTTAAGGATGTTTGTGTAAAGGAAAATCCCATAGAGGACTAATTGTGTTTAAATAAACCAAAGTTTTGCAAAAAGGGGCTTATTTTTTTTTAAATGCAAGTTTTTTTTTCTTTAACTTTGACCGGGTCAAAAATCAAAACCCGTTTTCCTTTTTGAGGCTCCATGAACCGATGACATTTGGGCTTTTTTTTTTTTTTTTTTTTTTTTTTTTTTTTTGTGGGTTAATGATCTAGAAAGGTAACGAACTTTGGTCTTTGTCCATATTTAGGTAATTATGTTTTTTTTGTTCACATTTGACCATTGAACTTGTTTGACCTGTTCAAAATAGGGTAATATGATTGGTAATTACAGTAATATTACCCTATTATGAACAGGTCAAACAAGTTTATTGGTCAAATGTGTATGAAAAAAACATGATTACCTAAATATGGATAAAAACCAAAGTTTCTTACCCATTTTGGTAATATTAGACAAGAATCATCCCAGAGACTATGCCCTAGGATTAGGGGTGTAAACGAGCCGAGCCGAGCCCGAGCCTGACAAAGCTCGAGCTCGGCTCGTTTAATTTGAGGAAGCTCGAGCTCGATTCGAGCCTTAAAATGAAGCTCGAGCTCGGCTCATGAATAATTTAGTGGGCTCGCGAGCCTAATCGAGCCTAAACGAGCCTCTATGTGTGTGTGTGTGTGTATATATATATATATATGTGTGTGTGTGTGTGTGTGTATGTATGTATGTGTGTGTGTGTGTGTGTATATATATATATATATATATATATATATATATAGAGGCTCGTTTAAGCTCGTTTAGGCTCGCGAGCCCATTAATTGAAGCTCGGCTCGAGCTCATTTAATAAACGAGCCTCATATTTAGGCTCGAGCTCGGCTCGGGCTCGTTTAATTCGATCTCGAGTCGAGCTTTTAACGAGTCGATCCCGAGTAGCTCACGAGTAGCTCGGCTCACTTACACCCCTACCTAGGATCAGTCTCCGACGGTCAATGAAGAATTAGGTTAGGCTTGGTTTAACCTAGTTTAGTCCTTACTAGTCACGGACTTTAAAGCACATACAACCTAGCCCTGTAAGCATATACAACCTAACCCCTAACTAGTTGGGCCTAAACTGATTACCCCAAGACTTGACTGTTTCCTCATACATAAAGACGGGTCAACCCAATCTCATGTCACATCAATGGATCTTATGACTACTTGCACTTAATATAAATAACCCAATATTACCAATATGGGTAATAAACTGGTTTTTGTCCATATTTAGGTAACCATGTTTTTTTCGTACACATTTGATCATTAAACTTGTTTGACATGTTCATAATAGGGTAATGTTACCGCTAATTACCATCGTCTATACCTCTCTCTCTTTCTCTCTAACCCTACAATACGATCGTCTAGCCTCGATAATGTCTCGATTGAGTACCTTTTCAAAATGTCTGTATGATTATTTCTTAATCCAATTCGATTTAATGTTGCCTTGGTTTTGTGACGACGACCTATGGGATTTGGATTCCCATTCCATCACCAGCTATCATCCGGTGTCTTCATATTTGGGATTTTATTTTGATCAATCAAGTATAAAGAACTAAATAGATTGATTCAAACGTCTCAAAATTGTGATTGTTAGGGTACTCCTGGGTACCCCTTGATGATCGATGTCATGGAAATTTAAATTAAGGTAATATGTTTTTTTCCCCTTTTCTAATTTTCAATTTCTAGTCGACGTCTTTTTCAAATATGTATTAATTGGTTTTAATGGGGGATTGATTATAATGGAATTATGAGGTTTTTTTTGTTTTGTTTGGAGTCGTTGCTTTGCGGAAGATGTGTTTTTAGTAAAAAAAAAATAAACTGTGCAAGTAATTATGTATTTTCTTTGAGTTCAAGTTCCTATTGTCAGAGAGATATGGGGTTTTATTTCAACGTGCATCTTTGCTTTCTTTTCATTGTCTATTAAGATACGTATATGTCCATAGATAATATTATTGTTATTATTTTCTAATACAATATGGTGACGTGACAAATAGTAAGTCATTTAATTACATCACATGTTTTGTCATACATAATTCAGTGCAATTAGATACTAGTTTTTGTTGTTAAGTGCCTAAATGTTATTGTTGGTTAGTGACCATAATTTTTTAGTATAATTATAGTATTTATAATGACTAGGAGGCTTAAATGAGCTTCATTCGTCTACTGGCATCTAAATTTTTAAATCTACTTTGAAGTTGCACTAGAGGACCTGGAATTTGATAATCAAACAGGAGATAATCAAATAGGAGAGTTAAACTCAATATTTAAAAAAAAAAAAAACAAATACTACAATATTACTTAACAATGTATATTCTTTTAGAATGTTTCTTAATTTTTATCAGTCGTGGTTAAACTATTCAAAAAAAGGAAGAAACAAAAGTTGTGACTTTGTTCTTCCTCTTTGTTGTTGGAATAATGTTTTTTCAGAATGTATTGTGATGATATTATCAAGCTATTTAAATTGTTTTTGATTTGAGAGACAAAACATGCATCTAAAGTTTGGGAATTTTGATTTTTTTGTTTTACTTTACTCTTTTTTAATTCATTTTACTTGTTTTGCAGGTCATTAAAAGGGTATAAAAGCTTGTTATTCTCATGCGTGTGAAGGGGAGCTTGATGATCAAGGGTTTAAATGCAGTAGAGATAAATAGTTTGTGAAGAGAAACATGATGATCAAGGCTTTAATGGGATATATGATTGGTTTTTCAAGCAATGACACTATAAAGTTTATGCAATTGTACTCTTCTCATGAGAATGATTGATTTATAGTTGTAAGCTATCTTCATTCTTATGAGAATGTCATATTTTTATATTTGAATTTTAGGTTTTTCTTTTACTTCTTGTCATATTCTCTAAGAATGTTATTTATTATATCAAGAATGTTGAATTATTCTTAAAAAAAATGTTCATTATGTACTTGGAATTAATGTCTTGTTCTTCGAGAATTTTAAACTCTTCTTTAAGAATGTTAAGCTATTTTTTAAGAATGATAGTTATGTCGATCTAATTAATGACTTATTCTACAATAATATCTTATGAGAATGTAATTCTTATCATCAAACATGAAGCTTTAACTAAAAAAATGGACTGTTAACCATTTTCATGATATATAAGTATCATTATTTTTTTTTAAAATGATTCTTAATGTTGTATCAGCCATAAGAATTGTTAAAAGATGTAGTTCTTAAGTAGAAGAATGTCATCAAATAAGTCACATCATTTACATCTTAACTATCCTAGTGATCAAGAAAAAAATCAAATTTTATAGGTGTTGAGAAAAGAAAACTTAATTCTTAAAGAATGGAATATATTTCATTTTCTTTTTACTCCTATATAAAAAAACGATTGTAGTACGAAAAACTAAAATTGAAATAAAATTTAAATTTAAATTTAAATTGATATCCCATGAAAATCTTATATTCCATATATATTTTAACAATTTTTATGATTTTCTCTTTACAATTAATTAAATGCAACTATATAATTAATGCTACATCATATTAATAACATGTACCATAATATCTCAATCCTTAATGTTTTTTAATTTAATGCACTAGAATTTGTCATACATTCATACAATATTTATATTTCACATTTGATCATAACCCTATATATATATATATATATATATATATATATATATATATATATATATATATATATATATATATATATATATATATATATATATATATATATTCCACTAAAAGTTACTCAAATTTAATCTATATTTTTTATTTGACAACAATAACGCCTCTTTTGTATTTGTTTTACCTTTTTTTAGAAACAATAGTTTTTTTCCTATTAGAAAAAGGTGTTAAATTCACTCCTTTGATATAATTTTTTATTTTATATTTTCCGCATTTTGTTTAGATTAGAAAAAAAAAACACACATTGTGAAAAAATTTATTTTCAAAATTAAGGGAGTTGATTCGTACAAAACAAATTTTCTCTATCCACAATAATTAATGTTTTAAAATGTTGTATTTTACAACTTAATAATGCATAAATTGTTGTGTATAGCAAAAACCGTTTTATACGAATCACATTCCCAAAATTAAATTGTTAATGTGTCATAGTATATATCTCGATATTGTATTACGTTTTCAAATGTATCTTGTTGTTGGCGTTTTGGATAAATTTGAAAAAATCAGAAGGAAATTTCTCTGGGGCGGTTCAGAGGACAAAAAAACGATACATTGGATATCATGGGAGAAGGTTATCGCGGACAAAGATAAGGGAGGACTAGGAGTTGGATCCTTAAAATCCATAAACATCTCACTCTTGGTGAAATGGCTTAGGCGCCTAAGGTCATAATCATCCACATTATGGGCAAAAGTCATTATAAGGGTTCAAAAACTCCAAAACAAAGGGGATGATTATTACTATATGAAGTCAATGATCGGGGTATGGAACAATATAGCACGAATCAAACGTGAACTAGAAAAGAGGGGCATTCCACACGACAATATTATCAAAAAGCATCAGGGAGGAAACGACATTTCATGGAAGTGCGAAATTACCAGGGATGGAAAATACAAGGTTAGTGCTCTTCGCTACATCCTAGAAGATAATGGGCAGGTAGATATTGACAACTTCATTTGGATCAAAGAGATACCTCTAAAGGTCTCGTGTTTTATCTGGAGGGCGAAACGTAGTCGTATATCCACAATGACAACACCATCGAGTAGGGGCATAAACTTGCCAACCACCACTTGCTGTCAATGTAACTCAATGGAAGAAACAACTGATCACATCCCAGTGCAATGTGTTTTTGCTAAAAGTGTCACAGAATGGATTTTCAATTGGTGTAATGTTCCATTAATAAGTTTCCAAACGGTGCACGACGTTCTCGATTATGCTTCCAATTGGGGAACATGTCCCAAGAAGAAGAAAAGGCTGCTGAGCATTTGTTACACGATCTTATGGAGTATTTGGAAGGTAAGAAACAAATGAATATTTGCTAATAAATGGTTATGTGCTACGAAGGTAGCGGACATTGTCAAATGAACGATATTTCTTTGGGTTAAACATAGAGGTGGTAAAAGAGGATTAAATTGAACGGATTGGAATATCCTTCCGTTCAAATCATTGTAACTTTCATTTAGTTTTTCTGCTCTTATTTTGTACTTTTACTTCTAGCTCCTTGTTAGGTGTGTTACGTTTTTTTATATTTCTCGTTTGCAGGTTCAAAAAAATATCTGGTTGTTGGCGTAAAAAACTGAATGTCATAAACCATCGCCGCTTCATTAATTCTTTGGATGGTTGTAGTCACAAATTAAAAGCCCAAATTTAATTACCTAATAAGATTAGAAAATGCAATAGTTGCTAATATGAGTAACATAGCTAGCTTTAAGCCTGTTTATTTATTTAAAGGCAAAATCATATGATGTTTTTAAGTTATTTGAATTTGTTTGTTTACGAAGATATAAAATTTGGAAAACAAATCAACCATTATTAAAAAAATACAAAAAATCCAACAAAATATTGTTGTCTTTGACAAAATTTTATAATTTCAACAGCACTTTCTATCAAAATAACTAAAAATACAATAATTATAATAGTGTTCAAATAAAAAAAATGTTAAAGTTTGGTGCCTTTAGTGAAAAAGATTTAATCTTATCAAGGTAATATATTGAACCGGTAATAGATAGTCACAATGGTTTGGATTTTTTACAAGCATTAACGGTATTTTAGAACGAAGTAAAATTTTGGTCAAACTATAACGGATTTCTGTTGTCGGATATACACAGTTTATACTATTGAGAAACCTTAAAAGAAATTGGCCATAATAAATTTATAAAGTTTTAAAGGTTATAATATGGGAACTGATTTGTACACAACATTTTTTCTCCGCACGCAACAATTTGTGCTTTAAAGTGTTGTATTGTACAACTCTATAATGCATAAATTGTTGTGTACGGCAAAAAATTGTTGTGTACGAATCACTTCCCTTATAATATAGATGCTTAAAAATCTTAATTAAAACTTCAAATCTTCAAAACTCTCCTAGAAATGATGGTTTGTGTTTTCGGGTATACACAACTTATATTGTCAAAAATGTGGTGCAACTACTACTTCAATAAACTGTAAGTAAAGATCTGTGTTCAACTTGGTCAAACTAAGGTCTTGTGATATACATACCACGAATGGAATCGTGGTCTAGTTGGCCACGACCACGGATCGTGCACACCACCCCGACGTTCCATGGTCGGGCGTGATCGTGCTTCTTCGTGTTCCCGACGACGAATTCAAACGAGAAATTTGATTGGTTGTTTGGTTTTTTGGCCATTGAATGACTATTTTGGCCATTTTTTTTCAAACTCAATTTACTAATTATAAATAAAACTTCTATTATACAAAAATTTACATCCCATTCTATTCTCTAAAACCACAAAACATATACACATAGATTCCACAATACATATGGAATTTTTAAAAAGTGTTGACTCGGATGACGACATAGAATTCGTCGAGACATTCTTCAATGTTGTGCAACACATTCACGACGAAGAAAGTTCGAATGTAGCTCATACAAGGGCGGTCGTCAATCGTGATCGCTAAGCCGCACACGGCTTATTGGTACGTGATTACTTTGTCGATAATTGTTTTTATACTGACGACTCATTCGAATGTCGTTTCCGTTTGAATAAGGCTATATTTTTACGTATTAGTAATGCTTTAGAATCTCGTTATGATTTTTTCAAACAAAAACCCGATGCTAGAGGAAGAATGGGTTTTAGTAGTATACAAAAATGTGAGGCTGCGCTTAGGTATTTGTGATACGGTATAACATTCGATGCATCTGACGAATACTTGAAAGTATCCGAGAGGACCACAGTTGAATGTGTAGATTGGTTTTCTGCATGTGTTTATGAGGTTTTTCACGAAGAATAATTGCGCAAACCTACTCACCGTGATATCGAGAGATTATATTCGGCTCATGAGGAGAGGCATGAATTTCCAGGTATGCTTGGCAGTCTAGATGGTACGCATGTGGCTTGAGAAAAATGTCCAAATGCATGGCATGGTCAGTTCATTCGAGGAAATATAGGTGAACCAACTATCATCCTAAAAACTGTTGCATCTCAAGATTTGTGGATATGACATGCCTTTTTTGGAGTAGCAGGGTCTAACAACGACCTTAATGTTCTTGGTCAGTCTCCACTTTTCAACGATATTTGGACCGGCAAAGCACCTGATATGACGTTCACGGTGAACGGACACGCGTACAAATACGGTTACTACCTTGGTGATGGGATATACTCGGATTATTCTACATTGATGAAGGGATACTCGGTTCCTCAAAGTGAAAAGGCAAAGTTGTTTACAAAAAAACAGGAATCAACAAGAAATGATATCGAGAGGGTATTTGGAGTACTTAAGCAAACATGGCATGTAGTGAAATATGCTACACGACTCTGAGATAAAGAAAGAATTAAACGAATGGTCCTAGCATGTATTATAATGCATAATATGATTATTGAAGATGAAGGTCGAGTGATTTGCACATATGATCCGAACGACGTTGTCGTTCCAATTGATGAGTTCGTACGCGTTTTTAGAGCAAGTGAGAAGATGTCGCAGAACATTTGTACCAACGTAGCATGAACGACGATTAGGTTTTTTATATGTATGTTTGTTTGTTTTTTTTTTTTTAATTAATGTAATGTTTTTTTTCTAGATTAACTAAGTAATGTAGTTTGAAGTTATAATTTTATTTTTATAATTAATGAAAAACTAGTTTTAAAAAAATGAATGTTTTTTAATTATAAAAAATATAATTTTTATTGTATTTTTGAATTAAAAAAAATAATTTTATTGTATTTTTGAATTAAAAAAAATAATTTTAATGTATTTTTGAATTAAAAAAAAATAATGATGTACAGTGACGTGTTAGTGGTAGTGTAATGTGGTGCTGATGTGACACCCACCACATATGTGTTATGTGGTGAGTATAACGGATTGTCTAAAAAGACGTATTCTGGTTTGCCCAAGTTGATGAGATATTGCTACTGCTTCATGCTTTTGAATTTACCCTAATTAATATTTTGGTGTCTCAAACTATTTTATTTTATGTAATTTTATATGTTTCAAAAGTTTCCAATTATTTTTGTCAAAGTTTAATATAAGAAATAAAAGTTACATCTTCAAACTTTTAACTACTAGCTATTTTTTGTCAAACATGTTGTAGTTATAATTAATGGCGGAATTTGGAGCAGTTTAATTGATCTTTTCTTCAAACTAAATTTATCGATATTTTAACATCCTAGAAAATATATTTTTTGATTTCTAAACTTATATTTATTTATATTATACTAAGATAATAATTTTTTGTCTACTAATTAACTATCAAGAAATTTACAAATTAAATTATCCAAGCAATTAACATATTAATTAGTATCTGAATATTTAAGAGAACAAAACCACATTTCTTAAAAAACGGATTATGTATTATTTATAATTACAACCATAAAAATTACCCTGGTTGCACATCTTATGATAGAATTGTGTTATACGTGTATAAAGTAGTTTATGCATATCTCTACGTAGATCAACATTTTAGTGTCTAAAATATTCTTCTTCGTGGAAGCAGCTAGGTGCAAACGTATTTGGAAAAAAGAAAACAGCACCATTTAAATGTAACTTGCACCAATTAAGTAACATGCACATATAGAAAGGAGAAAGTTTTGTGCCAAGAATAGAAAGGATTGGGACTGGAGTAATGGTCGCAGCATAGATGACTTTTGCAGCAATGCAGTAGCCGACATATAGTTTAAAATTTTAGTTACTAGAAAATAGTGATCACTAATATAGTTGCTGCATGAAAAAAATTTAGTTACTAGAAAAAAGTGATCACTAATATAAAAAAAAAAAAGAACATAAGCGATTTTTAATTATTTTACCTGATAAAACAATATGAATTTATATTTTTTTAACCAAACTTTTTCTAAACAAACATAAGAAAAAAGGTATATAATAACGTTTTTTTTTTGTTATACAAATAATTTGAATTTATAATCATGTATTAAATTCTTTTCATTCTATAAATTCCAACATAAATACTTAATAAAATTATTTAGGTTTAAAATGTCAAAATTACTTAGTTTAAAATGAAAACCAAAAAAGCCAGCATGATATTTACTATACTACCCTTCTCAAGCATGGGTAATTGAAAATCACTATCGTCTAGAAGATATCTCTATTTTTCTCTTTTCTATTATTATTGTCTAAGCTTATAACTAAAAAAAACCTCACCCCCATTTTATCAATGGATCACCGGAAACCACATAAGAACTTGAACCATAGCCTCTCGTTCCTCTTTCTCTCGCCGGAAACATTTACTAAAAATTCTTCGGTTTCCTCTAGTCTTATTCCTCTCTTATTTTGTCGAACCCTAGCCGACTCCTTGTTTGATTTGTGGTTCGATTTGGGAAAATTAATCTGCACTCTAAAGTTGTACATGATCGATTTCTAAAAATCGATTTCTCACAACATCAACCGAGATTTATGAAGGCTAGGTTGCACCACCATGATGAACGCCACTGACACCATGTTAATTACCGTAACAACTCTCCACAACCAATTTCCAAATTTCAGAAGCGTGTTTCGACGATTGAGCTTAGATTACTTCATCTGCATGGTAGATTCATTGACTGTCTGTTATTAATGTATCCAGGTAAACATTCTTCAAGTATGGAACACAATTCATCTACTTTATCTATTAAGTTATCGATTGTTTGTGGTTTTTACAGTTTTTTCGACTTAATTTATACCAAATTTGGTTTTTGGTTATTTAGTAGCGGTTTAACGTTGATATAGTTCCTAATTTGGAAGTTCAGTTTTGCTTCTTTTCGAGTTCTAATTATCCAAATGCGAATATAAATCAAATGTAAAGCTTAGCATGTGATAATTATGGAAGTTTGATGTTTTAAATTTGTAGGCTGAGGATGAAA